GAGAAGCGAGCGATGGAGCTGAGGCGCAACATCCCTTGGGCCGGCGGTCTGCTGTGTTGCCGCGCGTGGTGCCCCTGTCCGGTTGTGCGAGAGTTCGCGGCGAGGGCGGGCCCGAAGACACGAGAACGGGGGCGGGAGCGAAGAAGGCGGGAAGGAGACGGCCGCGACGCATGATGAGATTTTTCAGTTTCCTGTCAGCCTGACGCCGACAACGCGTGATGACGCAACTTTCAACTCAGCTCACACTGAAGCGACTTCGCTTTCCCCCCCCACTCCCCACCCCCCTTTTTTTTTCTCTTCCTCCCTCTCCGTCCTCGCTGCGCGGCGGCGGCGAGCGACGCACATGCCCGTATACACGCGCCACGATGGACACACATTGTTCGAGGTCCAAACAGTTTGAGCGATGCCGTGAGAACGGAACACTAAAATCACCTTTCGACTGAGCGCCCGCCTCCCCTTCCCACTTGCGCGCGTAGCGCCTGCGGGCGTTTCCCCGGCGCCCCATCTTGCCCTGTCTGGCGCCCTGTCTGTTCACACGGTCGGTGATGGGTGCGCCCGAAAGCGCAAGAGAGAGATGGAGAGCGGGCAGAGCGGGGGTTGTGGTGGGTTAGCGCTGCTGCTGATGGAAGAAAACAACTGTTGTGCGCGAGGGCGTGCGAGCCCTGTGAGCGCACTTGCGTGATAGCCAAATCAAACTCAACAGGTCTGACGGCCGCACCCCCGCACCCCCGCACAGCCAGCAGACAAGGCGCGCTTTGAGACCCACCGCCTCGCAGCAGTGGGCGCGTGGGTGCATCAGCGCCCCGAGAAGCGAGCGATGGAGCTGAAGCGCAACATCCCTTGGGCCGGCGGCCTGCTGTTGTTGCCGCGCGTGGTGCCCCTGTCCGGTTGTGCGAGAGTTCGCGGCGAGGGCGGGCCCGAAGACACGAGAACGGGGGCGGGAGCGAAGAAGGCGGGAAGGAGACGGCCGCGACGCATGATGAGATTTTTCAGTTTCCTGTCAGCCTGACGCCGACAACGCGTGATGACGCAACTTTCAACTCAGCTCACACTGAAGCGACTTGCTTTCCCCCCCCACTCCCCACCCCCCTTTTTTTTTCTCTTCCTCCCTCTCCGTCCTCGCTGCGCGGCGGCGGCGAGCGACGCACATGCCCGTATACACGCGCCACGATGGACACACATTGTTCGAGGTCCAAACAGTTTGAGC